ATATTTCTATTCTTATCACATATGTTGCCTCTCCCATATCTTTTGTTTCAAAATTTTTAGAGACAAATTTCTTGGTTTCATATAACAAACCAAGATCATTGGTAGCAAGCAAAATGTCATCAACATACATAACTAGAAAAATAAACTTGCTCCCACTGACCTTCATATATATACACCGATCAACAGTGTTTTCCTTAAATCTAAAAGAAGTTATGGTATCATTAAACTTAAGATACCATTATCGAGAAGCTTGTTTAAGTCCATATATTGATTTCTTTAACTTACACATCATGTGTTCCTTTCCTTTAACTGAAGAGCTCTCAGGTTGGTCCCTATAAACTTCTCCCTATAAATTCCCATTATAACATCTATTTGGTGCAACTCTAAATTGTAATGAGCCACCAAAACCATAATGATTCTAAGTGAGTCTTTCTTGGAGACTCGTAAAGATGTTTCCTTATAGTCAATGCCTTCTTTCTGAGTAAAACCTTTAGCAACAAGTCTGGCCTTATATCATTTGATATTACCTTTTGAGTTGCGCTTAGTCTTAAAGACCCATTTACACCCGACCTTTTTGCATCCTTCAGGCAATTCAACGAGATTCCAAACTTGATTTTGATCAATAGATTTTAACTCTTCTTCCATGACATTGAACCATTTAGTAGAATCATCACATTTCATGGCTTGTAAAAATGAACCTAGATCATTGCCAATTCCTAAGTCAATTTCTAACTCTTGTAGATAAACCACGTAGTCATTAGAAATAGCTGACCTCATTTCTCTTTGAGATCTTCTTAATGCTATTTCTTGTGGCTCAACTACTATAGGTTCAATATTGACATTTTCATTATGGAGTGTTAGATCATTAATTTGTTATTCTTGACTATTGTTGGGTTGAACTATAATATCAGGAACAATAATTTTAGAAGTTTTGGGTGGAGGAACTTCCACCTTAACTTCTTGAATGCAAACATCACGCATTCTTTCACTTCCACTAATGTCAACATTTTCAATGAACCTAGCATTTCCAGATTCAACAATTATTGTACTATGATTAGGACAGTAAAACCTATACCCTTTGGATTTCTCTACATAACCAATGAAGTAACCACTGGTTGTTCTTAAATCCAATTTCTTTTCACGTGGATTGCAAATTCTTACTTCTGTTGGACAACCCCAAACATGCAGGTGTCATAGACTAGGTTTCCTTCGCGTTCACAGTTCAAATGGAGTCTTTGGAACTGTCTTACTAGGAACTCTGTTTAATAAATACATAGAAGTCTTTAAAGCATACATCTACAATGATAAGGGTAGAGATAAATAACTCATCATACTCCTAACCATTTCCATTAAAGTACAATTACGCCTTTCTGCTACATCATTTTGTTGTGGTGTACCTGGCATTGTGTATTAAGCACAAATACCATGTCTTTCAAGGAATTTAGCAAATGGACCCAGACATTGTCCCGATTCATCATACTTTCCGTAATATTCACCACCTCTATCCGACCATATTATTTTCACCTTTTTATCTAATTACCTTTCAACCTCTTTAATATACACCTCAAGTGCATTCACTGATTGTGATTTATCATGCAATAGATAAAAATAACCATAACGTGAAAAATCATCAACAAAGGTGATAAAATAACTTTCTTTACCAAAAGATGGAACATCAAAAGGACCACATATATCAGTGTGTATAATTTCAAGAAACTTTGTGCTTCTTGTGGCACATTTTTTAGCATATTTTGTTTATTTACCCTTAATACAATCAATACACACTCCAAGATCAGTAAAATCCAAATTTGGAAGAATTTCATTCTTCACTAATCTTTGCATTCTTTCTTTGGATATGTGACCCAAACATTTATGCCACAAGTAAGTAGGATTCTCATCCACTAAACTGCGTTTAGTGCCAACATTATGATATAAGGTCATTAAGGTCTCAGCAAAAGCATTATCAAGTTTAAACTTGTAGAGACCATCACATAAAATTCCTGTTCCAATAAGATTATTATTTTTATATAAACTGAAAGATCCACAACCAAACTTAAAAGAGAATTCCGCTACATCAAGTTTTGGCAAAGAAACTAAACTGCGAGAAAAAGTAGATACATAAAGGTTTCGAAACAAATCCAAATAATACCCGGTATCTAAGATCAAACGATAAGTGCCAATGCCTTCAACTGGAGCTTTGTTTCTATTCCCCGTGAGCACATAATTCTCATTTGGCTTTATGGTCTGGATAGAAAGAAATCCATGCATCGTATTTAAAACATGAGTGGTGGCACCAGAATCAATCCACCAAGTATTATGAGAAACTTCAGTAAAGTTTGATTCAAAACATACTAAAGCACAAGACTTACCTTTCTTTTCGAACCAAGCTTTACGCTTCAGACAATCTTTCTTCAAGTATCCAATTTTGTTACAAAAGTGACACTTAATAAGATTGTGTTCCTTCTTGTGGATTTGAGAAGCCTTAGACGAGTCATTCAGGTTGTGTAAACCGTTCTTCTTGCTCCTTCCACCTTTCCTCTTGGAATTCTTCTCAGCTTCTTGATGACTTAAGAGATGAACAGAATGAGCCTTTTGATTCTTTATCCTTGTTTCCTCTTGAACAAGCATACTGGCCAATTCATTTACATTTCACTTGTCCTTTATAGTGTTGTAATTCATTTGAAATGGCCCATATTGTTCATGAGGCAAGGAATTAAGTATGAACTATACTAAAAAGTACTCATCCACGTTCATTCCCAAAGTCCATAATTTTGCCGCTAAGTTTGTCATCTCTAGTACATGTTCTTGCATGGTACGTGAACCATCATATTTCATGGTGGTCAAAGTACTCATCAATGTACCAGCTAGTGACTTATCAACAGTTTGAGAACGCTTTTCCACAAATTTCATAAATTCCTTAGCATTGTCAGTTTTGGGAAGAGTTGTCTTTAAGTTGTTTGCAACTGTCATTCACATAAACATTAAGCTTAATATGTTCGATCTTTCTCAAGTTTTATGGAAAGACTTTTCATTATCGCTGCTCTCATCAGTAATAGCAGCTGGTTTCTCAATTTGAAGTGCTAAATCAAGATCCAAGACACCTAGGTGAAATTGGACTTATTCACTCCAATCAGGAAAATTCATTCCAATGAATAAAGGAACAGACGAAGCAAGCGAATGAAGAGAAACAAGTACAGATACTGCAAATATACAAGAATATACTCATACATTAATGCCTTGAGAATATCACATTATCATATTCAAATTAAACATTACATGTATATCATAGTTCTCATTTGGGTGATCCTATAATATACAAACATGCAATAAACCGCAATGACGCTAATAACTTTTATTTGGTAATTATAAATACACCCCTTTAAATTTTATTTGATATCTTTGGATAGACAAACAAACTTAACAAGACATATTAATTACCAACTATTATGTTCATGAATTATAAGAAATTGATTAACCTTTGGATCAGTCCCTAAGTCCTTAAAATAAATGAACTTCAATATACCCACGACACCAATAAGGATATGTAATATATCAATTCCAATCATAGCATCAAATAATCATGGGTAATTGAAAGAAACATTATACAATTTCAAAAATTCAAGACATTATGGTTTGCCTACTTTGATGACTAACAAACCACTCATAATTGAATTCTTGAAATTGTAAAACACTATAATTGTTTCATGCATAAACATTCACCAAATTGCACGTAAGGGCAAAACCGTAAATTAATGCGTAAGGGAAAAACCGTAAAATCAGAATCGATAGGGGGCAGAACCGTAAATTTAGCAGCTAGTGGCAAAATGGTAAATAATTCGGTCAATGACAAAACAGTAAATCAAACGGTCAAGGGCAAAATCGTAAATAATCGACGGAGAGGGCAGCAGGCGTGTGAGGTGCACGCGCCTCAACTGCCGCGTGGGCGCATGGGGCCCACAGGCCTATGCATACGCACCCGCGTGCGTCACACGCGCCTATTCCTTCACCGCGTGCATCACGAGCTTGGAGCGTGGATCTACGCGCCTGCAACCGTAGCGCACGCGTGGCTTCACGCGCCTTCTTCATCGCGTCCATTCGTTTTCTTTTTTTTTGTGCCCCGTTCCGCCGCGCCTTCCGTCATCAAGGTCTCTTCCAATAGCCCATCTCCAACCAAATTAACGAGTGGGTTTGGGAGACCACGCCGGCGCCATCACAAAGGTCCAAGATTCGATGAAATGAATCAGAACAAGAAATCATTTCAACCACTTTGGCAAATAACAAAAAGACCAACATCGTTTGGCGAATCCAAACCTAGAAACCATAATCGGAAAATCATAAGATCCTAAACCTCGCTCTGATACCAACTGTAAGTTATAACGTAATCCTTTTATGCGGAAAAATTTATGAAATCTAGGATCTTAGATCTTCATGATTTTCACAATAAGAGGGATGAAGACATATCTTTATCCATAGCATATCCTTGCAGATAATTGTTGTAGAAAACAGAAGAAATGAAGAAATCTGATTTCTCTCCCTTAACCCACTTTTCGCTTAATGTATCTTGTCGATGGAGGATAAAAATACAACGTTCTTTTTGTATGTTATCGTGGGTGGAGAGAGGACCAGAATCTTTTTATATATACCCCTTCAAGTGGTGCCTTCCATCAAAGCATATCCCACTTCAAAAGAGTCGCACCTCATCGGAGGAACTTTAACTTCTCAATAGAATTACACTTTTTCATCTATTTTTCATAGCCAATATGTTTTAGCACTTAAATATTTATTAAACCATTAATTCATAACATCATGTGGGCCACATTATTCTTACAAAGGCAACACTTGGCAGTAAGAAGGTTCTCATTGTTCTTGATGAAGTTGATGAGAAAGAACAAATTGAGAATCTAATGGGACAACGTCAGTTGCATCGTGGAACAAGAATAATTATCACCACTAGGAACACAAGTGTACTGGACATTATTGAGCAAAGAATGGTTCGTGAAATGAAGGAGATGAATTCTAGCCATGCACTCCAAATTCTGCCTTATGAAATGAAGGGGATGAATTTTTACCATGCACTCCAACTTTTCAATAGGCGTGTGTTTCTTGAAGGCTCTCTGGCGGAGGATGATTTTGACCGTCTCTCAAGAGATATTGTCTTTACTACCGGGAGCCTTCCTTTAGCTCTTGAAGTTATAGGTTCGTTACTTCATGGAAAACCCAAAGCGAGATGGGAGAAAACATTAGACAAGTCAAGGGAAATACCTGATGAAAAAGTACAAAAGACGTTGATGATTAGTTATGATGCCCTAAATGATCATCGGCGCGAAATTTTTCTTGATGTCGCATGCCTTTTCACCAATGAGGATATTTGTAATGCCAATTACACGTGGGAGGCTTGTGAATTTCATCCTGAAATTGAGGACCTTGTTAGAATGTCCTTGATAAAGATAAAGGACAATAACAAATTTTGGATGCATAACCAACTGAGAGACTTAGGACGGGAAATTGTTCATAAAGAAAGTCCTAAAAATCTTGGGAAGCGGAGTAGGCTATGGACTAGCGAGGCGGTCCTTGATTTAGTAAAAACCAAAGAGGTAAGACAACTATCAGTTTCAAATGAAAAAAGTGACATCCCTGCGTTTGAGAATTCAACTTTCTACTCATGATCTTTTCTTCCCTATCATTCATTCAAATCGTAAATAAAATTACTGGTTACTGACAAACTTCAACTAATCACTGCAATTAATTTATTGGTAGAGGAAGGAAGATGTTGAAGCACTTGATCTACTGGGAAGGAGTTCTCATATCTCAATTATCCATGAAGAAATCGAAAGGTTTGAAAGTTTGAGGTTCCTGAGATTATCTTATGGGACCTTGCATGGGGATTTCATCGTTTGTCTACCAAAGTTGAGATGGCTTTCATGGTGTTCTCCTTCACCGGATTTTAGTGTGTGCCTACTATTCATTCAAAGAATTTAGTCGTCCTTGAACTTTTTGACAATCGCTTCCCAGATAATTCAAAAGTATGTGACATATTTAAGGTATGGTTTACTACTCAATTTATGATAATCGCCTTGTAGATTATTTAGGTTTCTTTTCCGGACCTTTATTTTTCCTTTACCCTTTAATTTTAATTCAATTGAGCCAACTGAATTTTGTTTCGCTGGTTATCTGAAGATTATATTCACTGTGTATTGATCCAACTACGCCCAAACAGGGAAGCTAGGATGTGAAGTTTAAGAGGTTTCGGGGCTAGAAGCTATATGCTGAAGTTGGACTAGTGTATCCGATTTCTCCTTTACTTTTTATAAAGTGTACCAGCCATGCCCGTATGGACAAAAACTTGTTACCCGCGTAGGAATATATCCTCTTTCAGCAATTTGATTCACCATACTAGCTAGGGATGTGCATGTTAGTGGAACTGGAATAACATGCCTATTCACATCAAACACCCCAATTGAACCATATAAGTGATGAGTAACATCTTTCATACACTCCCATGAAAATATTCTCTGCTTTCATTACTATTAAATGGAAGATTCACTAAATGAGTGATTGTTGCTTGCATGCTCCTCTATCCAGGAAAATATAGGAAAGAGAATATGTTCGACCTTGGAGCTGCAGGGAGTCTTTTATATCTGGTTGCTGCAAATAAGAATGAACTCAACAAAATGGAGGATTTGTGGAGAGAAATGGAACTTGTTCTTCAGAATGTCAAAGAAAAAGTAAGGAGGAAAGATTCTTCTCGTGAACCATCTGAATGTTATATTTCGTCGGTCCGCCCATGATGTGTGTGTCCAAGGGACACCATTTGCTCTAATAAGAGGTATGTCTGAGAGACACCTTTTGAAGAGGTGCGAGGAGAGTTTCTTAATGGAAGTTACGATAACTTCCTCAGTAAGATGATGAACAATTTACAAGAGAAATTCAGAACTCTCTCTCTCGACGTATAAGGATTCCGTATCTATTCTTAGAAGACAATCGGCATTAACGCTGTGGAACAAGAATACTTTCCCTGTGATTGTATTCGGACCAACGTGAAGTAGATTCGTTCATCGTTTGCTAGTGATTCGACGTGTGATCCTGGAAATTGTGTTTGGAGCGCATCGAACAGGTTAGTCGATTCTCCCGACACTCGCATCCAACATTGGTATCAGAGCCAGGTTATGATCTCTGCCTTGTTTTCCTATTGATTTTTTACGCTTGCTGTTTGATATGGAGATCATGATGATGAACTTCATACTGTCTGCATATTCATTGCTCGGTAATTGCAAGATGAGTCGACGAACATGAATTGAAACGAAGAACGGGTTTGAACGTCACGGGCGACCATTCGTTTCGGATGTTTTTCGAAACCTTTTTTATTGAGAAAATAATTTTTTAATTTATAAAATTGAGAGAACTCGCCGAGACGAGAAGAACGGTGGGTCGAGCGCCGCCAGAAGACGCCGGACGCACCCACACGCGCGGCCAGAAGCCGCGGCGCGTGGGAGCCATGCGCCCAAGGCGCTGGCCCTGCCAGTGCGTGGACGGCACGCGCGCGTCGGCCAAGCGGCGCGTGCTGACGTCATCGATGACGTCAGCAAAACTGTCGGTAACCGACATGCTGACGTCATGATGACGTCATCTCGCCGCCGGCAGGCAGGCCGGTCCACCGTCGGCAACCGGCGACCCGACCCGATCTCTGATCCGACCCGACAGTTGACCTCGACCGTTGACCGATCAACCGGTCGGACCGGTCGACGGTCAAGCCGGTCGGACCGGTTCAGAAACCCGAATAGGGTAGGCGCGTGCGCCACACGCGCCGCGCACTTAGGTGGCGCGTGTGGGCACGTGGAATGTCCGTTCGGGCTGTGGTTGGTACCGTTGTGTTCGTAGTGAAATTCTCTACATTGTGATGTAGTTATTTTATATGTTTTAAGCTTTTAAAGGTTTGAAAATGCATGCGGAACCCTAAATATGTGTATTTTTGGGGTATTATTGCATTTTACTTGTATTTCCCTATGGTTTTGGAAATACAGATGCTGACTTACATGTAAATGACCACATAAATAGTATGTAGAGCATGTTTCATTGATGGCATGTCTATATAGTTTGACGTGCTTGCATTTTTTCTAATTTTGAGCGTATTAAAACAATGGCTGGAGATCCTTACGTCATGAATTCCGCTGTTGATTATATTTATTGCATGGATGTTCTATTTGTTGATTAACATCATGCCATGCTATATGATTGCTAGAAAGGATGTGATCATTGTTTTAGATATTTTTTGTGAATTATCTAGTCTAGTGGGAGTTCGTAGGTTGGTAGAATTAGAAGAAATTCTCACCTAGAACTTAAAATTTGCACAAATTAAACAAGTTAATGATAGTAGAACAATCGTACGCCGAAGCTGATTGGGAACATCGTGAACTTTCATTTTGGTGTCTTTTGTTGAATTATCATTAATTTAGTTTGTCTTTGCTGCAAATTAAAATGTGTGTTTATATAGAAAATGTGCTAGTATTGATTCTGCGTTTATTATGTCAATGTGTAGTAGATAGTGATTATGGCTTCGGCATCCAAGACCATTGTGGCTGACCTCAATAAGGGTGAGAAGCTGAACGGTGACAATTATGATATTTGGCACCGAAAAGTTCAATATATCCTTGAGGAGCAAGAGGTTTTGGAAACCCTCAACCACACCATGGATGAACCTGAGCATGGAACTTCTGCTCAACATAAAAGAGATCAAGAAGCTTATCAAGCTTGGAAAAAGAAAAATAGCATTGCTCGCATCACGTTACTGAGCTGTATGCAAGATGATCTCATGTGTGAGTTTGAAAGTTATGACAAAGCTCAAGCAATGTGGGTTGCATTGAAAGATAAATTTGGGGGTACGTCTGCCACTAAGTTGAGGAGGCTCACCATCAAGTTTGACACATACCGGAAGCGCCCAAATTTATCAATGAGGCAGCATCTTCGAGAGATGTCAAACATGGTACGTGAGTTGAAGTCGGCAGGTCATTCCCTAACTGATGAACAGCAAGTTCAGGCTGTTATAAGGTCTCTTCCTGACAGCTGGGAACACATGAAAATCAATATGACGCACAATGAAAATATTGTCACTTTTGGTGATATTGCCCGTCATTTGGAATTAGAAGATGAGCGCCTAGAGGCTGCAAAATCCTCTACCCATGCTTATGTTGCTGAATCAGGTTCGGGCAAAGCTTCAGGCTTTAAGCGCAAGAGGAACCATAAATTCAACAACAAAGGAAAAAAGACTGATCAGGCACCCAAGAGAGCCAAGACCTTCCGACGCAAGAAGCGCAGTGGGAAGAAGGACAAGGCCAAGATGATGTGCTACAATTGTGGCAAATTGGGCCACTTCGCTCGTGAATGCACTGAGCCGAAAAAGGTACCACATTACTCCATTACTTTGAGTAATGCTTTTGTTTCTAGTACTGTAATGCTTGCTGAATCTCATCCAATGTGGACTGTAGACTCAGGAGCAACAGACCACGTAGCTAGAGACCGAGGAGCATTTGTGGAGTATCGTCGGATACCGCCCGGAAGAAGATGGATATATGTTGGAAATAACTCAAGAGTTGAAGTGAAGGGTATCGGCACATGTAAATTAACATTTCGTGGTGGTCGAAACCTATTCCTACATGATGTCCTCTATGCTCCAGATATTCGGCGAAACTTGGTCTCTGTAGTTGTCCTTCTTAGCTTAGGTTATGTATTTAATTTTCATGGTGATTGTGTTGACATTTTATTTGGAACAGTTTATTACGGTTCTGGTTATGTATTGAATGGTTTTATGGTGTTAGACATTGACTATGATGTGTACAAAGTTAATGTTGATGGTTGTTTTTCTTTAATTGCATCTTCTAGTAATGTGGAGATTGATGCAAGTACTTGGCATGCTAGACTGGGTCACATAGAATGAAACGATTAGCTAGAGAAGGCCTTTTGGGGTCACTCGCTAATGTTGAACTACCCGTATGTGAACATTGTCTAGTGGGAAAAATAACTAGAAAACCATTTGGTAAAGGAACCAGAGCTGAACTTCCATTGCAACTTATACATTCTGACATTTGTGGTCCTTTAAATGTGAGGGTAAGGCATGGACCTCATATTTCATTACTTTTATAGATGACTTCACGCGTTTCGGTTATGTTTTTCTGATCTCCCATAAGTCCGAAGCATTGGATTGCTTTAGGCGGTTTATAGCTTTGGTAGAGAATCAGTTGAACAAAACAATAAAGGCATTAAGAACCGATCGCGGACGTGAGTATCTATCTGAGCAATTCAAAGCTCTTTGTGATGAAAAGGGAATTGTAAGACAATTAACTATTCCTGGTACTCCGCAACAAAATGGGGTTGCAGAAAGAAGGAATAGAACCCTTTTAGAAATGGTTAGGTCTATGATGGCGCAGGCAAATCTCCCTGTCTCTTATTGGGGAGATGCGTTATTGACTGCTGCCTATATACTTAATCGTGTGTCCTCTAAGTCAGTTGCTTCCACCCCCTATGAATTGTGGACTGGTAGGAAACCGGACTTAAGTAATCTACGACCTTGGGGTGTGTGCAGCATATGTTCACGATTCTTCTCATAAATATGGCAAATTAGGCTCTAGAGGGAAGAAGTGTATCTTTATTAGATACTCCGAACACTCCAAAGGGTACGTGTTCATAGGTGAACAAGCTGATGGAAGTGTGACTGAAATGGAGTCACGAGATGTCACGTTCTTGGAGAACGATTTTCCTAGTAGAGGTGAGATCGATAAGGACTTCCAATTACATGAGATGGAAGATCCCGATAACACACCCACTAATGTTATTAAGAGAAATACATATTTACCTCAACATACAAGACCTAGTGGGAGTGTTGCATCGCCTGACGAACTGAATTCACAAGAAGTTCAGTTGCGTAAAAGTAGTCGTAAAAGTATTCCCCGTCGTCATTTTGAGATTGAAGGGGAAGCTTTTATGATTGCTCCACAAGACGATGCGGAGC